AATTGTGTATCAATAGCCTAGGTTCCAGTCCCTCTGTACGAAAGTGTAGGACAAGGGGCTGTTTTTTACCAGGCTCAAAATAAACTGTATTAAAAACTAAGCCATGGCCACTTAAGTAAGTCTTTGGAATACTTGGTTGTATATTAAATCAACACTACTGATTTGAAATCTGATTTAAAGACTTGTGTTTGTCTTGCTTTGATTGGGTTTGATGCTGCCCTCCTATTACATTCAACCTTACCTCATGGAGCAGGTATTTTTTTTACAAAACCTCTTCCAAGGGAACAACACAAACAAACTTTACACACAAATGTACTGTTCTGAAAAAATACATTAAATAACAGCATGTTTGTGGTGAGCATTTACTCCTTGAGTTCCCTTTAATTTAAAGCAACATGAACTAAGTACAATGTCAATCAAATTTGCCAATTGATGGTCTGTATTTATTATTTTTGTAACGTCTGWAATGAAGATGGAGCTGTTTTTGAGGTCATCTCTGTTCCATATGGTATAAATGAATATATTTAATGCGTCTCATGCAAAGTATCATTGATTATTGACTAACAGACTATCAGCCTGTCAGTAAAGATTAGATCAAACGTGGTCAGTGCCATCGATGCCCCTCTCCATGTGTCCCTTTGCGGGGGAAATCCGGTGTGAATCTAAAGAGCTATTTAACAGTTAGGCTGCCTGTTAAGTCAATTACAATGATCCACTGGGGACTCAAGCTGCAATCTGATTTAATGGAGTTCACCTGGGCAACATGATATGGGTGGTTAACTCTGAAACAACTCATGGACTAAGTATCCTAATCCGATGTCAGCTCAATGAGTTTTGTGTATTCCCTTGGTGAGATAAAGATACATTTTTTCTAATATTTCAAGAAAAGTAATATAAAAAAACTAAATTAAGCCTACAAGCTTGTTTCATTAAAATAATGAAATGCAATGATTTTGATAAAGTTAAAATTGTAATTTTTAGACACCTTCGCAATAGAAGATGAACCTGCTATGATCTCCACGACCTCCATGACCTATTATGTTGGGGCWGCCTATTTATTTATTGATTGATTCATTAACTTTTGTAAAAGGATTTAGGATATTTTAGGGATAAAACACATTGTAATGGTTTTAATGTGTTTCCTGTTCTCTTAGTATTTACTTTGCACTTTTTATGTTCCCTTCAGTTCACCAATAAGAAAAGGCTTACTTTTCCCCTCCATGTTTTCCAACAGTAACAAATATTTTACATTTTTAGGAAGTATTATACAACATACCTAAAATTCTCTATTTTCTGAGATTGCATGGTGCACTATAATTTGGCTATGAAAAATTACAACACATGGTTCAACAAATGCATAAAGTGACAAGCAGACCCCCCATGTAAATTAAGCCCATGCCTAATACTCACCAAATAGTGATCAGAAATTTTGTTGTATTTTTGATTCAATCATGATTTTTTACATCATAGCAGAATCATCATCCAGTGTGAAGGAGGTCACATTAGGCCTTCATACCTCAAATACATGAGTTACCTATAAATTGTGTTAGTGGTATTCACAGTAATGTAAATATCCTATTTAAAAAAATGAAAGGCAGACGGTCAAGTAAATAGAGAACTCAAATAATAGTATTTTATTTGAGTGTGTATCACATTTGCCTAATGATGCAGTTGGTGGTAGGTGGATTGCCTCRTGCTGTAAATCTTTAAAATTGTGTTGGCTTACAAAACTCATTAAACCAGTCTCACTCTGTTAATCTCACATTGCTCTGCAAGCCAACTGGGTTTGTGTGTATTCCTTAGATGATGAAAGTGTGCTTGTGTGACTCTTGTTTGCATGATCACCTACTTTATCTTGCAAAAATATGATGTATGCTAAAGCAGATCAGCTCAACGATTATTGACTGTATCTGGATCCAGAAATGGCTTGTATGAATGGGCTAGTAGGGCTAAGCTCTCCCTTGTTTACAAAAAAAGTTAAAATAAATAATAAACACATTAAAAATGTTGCATCACATTGTGAAATTTACAACAAAACTAGTGCCAAACAGTCTCGAGAAAAATCCCACATTCTTCCTGATGGACAAACTTTTCACAGCCCTGTTCATTTCATGTCGTTCGTGGTACAGAATGTTTGATGTACATCTTGTCATGTCCCTTTCATTTCCTGCTTGTAGGTTAGTTTCAAAATGATGCAAAATGCAGATGGAAGGCAGGAAGTGAAGTATCTGCCTTCTGAAAAAAATACCCATATATATCTCTTTTTGCCTGGTAAAATAAAAGATAATAAATAAAATGTATTGTGTAGTTTACGGCTGCTCCAATCGTTCTAACCAAATTAATAATAAATGCTTATAAATAAATTATATAATGCTGTATAGTAAATAAATAATTTATGGCACTTTGTTTTTAAATGTTCATCAWATTTGGAGTGTGCCGCTGCAGCAGGCAGGCAAATTCATGGAAAACACACTTCAAGTCACCCTCTGGTCTCAYCCCCACCCTGCTGAACTAACAGAAATCCCCCAAACGCCTTTCTAACTGACGACGCCTGAAAGTTTAGCAGTGATGGAGAGAGGGTAAGATCAGGAGTGAGCAATGAGCTATCAGAAATTTATTGTATTTAATGTTTTTGGATTTTACAGTTAGGATGTCGTTTTGTGTGTTTAGTTTAGTCAAATATGTGAAAAAAGTGGTCCGACTAACCAAAACTCCACGCAGTGTTGTCAACTTAGCAATTTTGTCGCTGGATTCTTCGGCTTTTTTAGACCCCTCTAGTGACTTTTTTTATAACCAAAAAATCTATTGACTTTTTCCGATGTTTTTGRAGACCTTTGGAAACTTTGGCGACAGCTCTTTCCTCAGAGAGCAGWGAGTGATGCGGTGAGCTCCTCCCCCTTCATAGAATGGTCTGACTCACTGAAGCCCCACGCAGCACCTCCGGCTGCAGCTGAGAGGAGGCCACTGCTCCTGCCTGGTTTACAAAGTGGAATGTAATTTTGACTGTAATTTTTTATTCTGACACTGTCTCTTTAAAATAAATCTTTGGACTCGGTGGGGTGG